GGGCTGCTCGGAGCTGCAGGGTCCCAGTTGAGTCTGAGTCCTCTGCACTGGTGACTGTGCATCCAGCATTTAAATGCAGGGGTACTGGGTTAGGAGGGGTATGCGGTAGGGGAAATGGAGTGGGGTCCCTGAGGACTGCCAGCTGTGTCCTGCCCATGTCCTATCACAACTGTGGGGTAGTTTCAGGCGGGCCCCTGGACAGGCTTTGGGGAGCTGCAGGGTCCCAGTTGAGTCTGAGTCCTCTGCACTGGTGACTGTGCATCCAGCATTTAAATGCAGGGGTACTGGGTTAGGAGGGGTATGCGGTAGGGGAAATGGAGTGGGGTCCCTGAGGACTGCCAGCTGTGTCCTGCCCATGTCCTATCACAACTGTGGGGTAGTTTCAGGCGGGCCCCTGGACAGGCTTTGGTGGCAGAGCCACCTTTCAGAGTCCTGCCCCATCCTCCCTCCAGGCATCTTCATCCCAGGTCCCAACAAAAGGTGCAGAGCGGCAAACCCCATGCTGCCTGCGAGTTTGCAGGGTCCTTGCCTGGCTTGCAGCTCTCTGTGCTTGCAGGTGACAATGTGTGTTTGGGGCGGCACCCCCTGCGCACTGCCCTGCTTGCCAGCGCTCGCCCTCCCTCCTTCACCTCCAAGGGGATGTGTTGCTGGCACAGCTCTGTCCCAAAGCAGCTACAGGTTGGCACGGGCGATGCCAGCACCCTGCGGCTGTTTGATGCCCCAGGGCAAGTGCTGCCCACCTGGGGACGGGTTTTACCACTCTGCCTGCCGGCACTTGTGCTTCCTCCTTTGCTGGGCTTAGTCCCTGAGCCAGCAACTTGCAGGCAAATGCGTGGCTGGCAAAAAACGCAATGGCTTTGTGGCCTTGTTCGTGTCGCATAGATACCGGGGTACAATCACATAGCACCGTGTGCCGGCATGGCTTGTAATGAGGCCATGGGGCACGGGGTGAGCCCTGGGGATGAAAGAGGCAGTGGGGGAACTTTGCCCCAGCACCCATCCCACACTGGCAGTGCTGGCCAGGCATCTGCCTGGGGCTGGGGTGCACGAGGGCAGCCCAAGGTGGTTGTCGAAGCATCCTCCCCCAAGCTTGCCCCCGGTGCCTGCTGGGGCGAGGACCCCATTGCTTGGTGGACCCCTGAGAGCCTGGGGGCTGGCAGCGCTTTTCCTGGGTGCAAAAGGGCTGTGTGACATGATGGCCGGGGAGGGACAGCTGGAAGGGAGAATCATGCCATGCGCTCACAGCCGCTCTGAGCCACAGTGCTGGAGGTGGTGCCCGGTGCTGGGACCCCCTCTCTGGGGTGAGCAGGGTGTGGGGCACTCCCGGAGAGCCCCCCAGGGCCCAGCACCTACTCACTGCCTTCCCTCCTTGTCCCGCAGAACTGATCACAGAGTTTCAGCAGCCCCAGAGCCAGGACACAGTCAGGGAGCAAGTTCAGGAGGTGAGTGGGCAGCCGGGGCAGGGAGCCGGCAGTCCCAGACCACCATGGGCTGAGGGCTGCTGGCGGGGGGTGCTCTCAGGCTGAGCCCCAGGTGCTGGGCAGCAGCAAGGGGAGATGTGCAAGCCCCTGGGGGGTCCCGTGGGGGTCTGGACAGGACCCTCAGAGCTGAAGAGCCTTCAGGGGCACCAGTGTTACGCTGCCTCTCATTCTTCTTCTCGCAGCTGCTGCTCTACGAACTGGGTTTCCTGGTCTGCGTGGCCATTGGGCTGCTCTTCATCATCCTCGTGCCTCTGGTGGGATTCTGCTTCTGCTGCTGCCGCTGCTGTGGGAACTGTGGGGGCCGCATGTACCAGAAGCAGCGTCGGCGCATGGGCTGCAAGCGCCGGGTGCTCTGGACCTCTGTCCTGCTGGTCTCTGGTCTCCTCCTGTGAGTGCGCTGGCCGGGAGGCTCCAGGCAGAACCTGAGGGCGGGTGGAAATGCCGGCGCTTGGTGGCCATGCCAGGGAGCTGCCATTGTTCACAGGAGTAGATCCCGGCTTGGCTGGACAAAAGAGAGGAAGCAGCGGCGGTAGGGAGCTGGCCCGGGGGGGCTGTGCATTGGCACTGCGCAGACCCTTCCCGATGGCTTTGCTGCAGGGAAATGTGGGTGCGCCAGGCACTGGGCTCCCCCGTGCCTCAGTTTCCTGCGTCTGTCACTCCTCTCTGTTCCCTTGGCTGTGTGCAGGGCACTCGCTGGGATGCTCTGGAAGCAGGGCTCAGCGGTGCACTCCTGACCCTGCAGCCTGTGGTCAGTGCGGGTGGATTTGGAGGATCCTGAGTGGGAGCATCAGGCCTGAGCTCCCCGCGTGCTCACCCTGCCACCCTTCCCTTGCAGGGCTGGTGACATCTGCGCCTTCGTCAGCAACACTCGTTTCTCCCAGGCTGTGTGTGGCACCTTCCCCAACGTCAATGACACCCTGGACAACCTCCGCACCTACCTGGCTTCCATCCCCCAGGCACGCCTGGTCCCCTTGTCCTGGCTGGGGTGCCCGGTGGGGGGCAAAGAGCCCCCCTGGGGAAGTGTGACAGTGGAGCTGGAGGTGGGGAAGGGTCCCCACCCGCATTGACACCCCATCTCTGTCCCTCTAGCAAATCAATTTTATCATCGACAGCAGCGACGTCCCGCTGGGCCACGCCAACCGCAGTGTCCAGGGTGAGGGTGTGCGGCAGAGGGGGGGCTGAGGCATCCCGGGGGTGCCTGGGGAGTGGAGGTGGCTCAGGGGTGCTGCAGATGGTTGCTGACCCTCGGAGCCGCTGAGCTGGTTCTCGTGGAGATGTCTAAAGGCAGTAGGTTTGGGGGCTCCTCCAGGCTCCCGCTCCGCTCCAGCTGCTGCTTTTGCCCATTCAGGCCCCTCTCGGGAGGGTGATGCAGGTGGTGGCAGGGTGGAGGTCACCCCTCTGCCCACCTTGCCTGGAGGGTGGGTGTGGGATGGGGTCCCATGAGGGCAACTGTTTTCGGCAGCTCTCCTGCAAGCCCCAGGCTGCTCAGGGCAGCCAGGTCCCGCTGTCGGGGGTCCTGTCATTGACACCGTCTCTCCCATCTCCACAGAAATTGGGCCCAACCTGGGTGGCATGATCGTCTCGGGCATCAGGAGCAGCACGGATGGGGCTCTGGGATCCCTCCAGAGCCTCTTGCAAGGTAGTGGCCCCATCCCTGGGGGGCCAGCAGGACCTTGGAGGGGATTCAGGGGGATGCTGGGGCAGGTGCATGCCTGGGGGGCTTCAGCAGGTTTGGGTAAGCCCCCCTGGGAAGGGGAGTCCATCTGGCCACTGCAACTCCAGCCTGGGGCAAATGCTGGGACTTTGGAGTGGGGTGGAGTGCCCCTGCATTGCATTTTTGGATGGGTCCCCAAGACTCGGCTGGGTGAGGACAAGCCCACGCTGCGCTGGCAGGATGAGGTCACGAGCCCCGCTGTCTCCCCAGGGATGGAGACGCTGGCGGACGCCTTCAGCAACATCACCGGCACTCACTCGCATCTCAAGGAGCTGCAGAGCAACTACAGCCAGCGGCTGGGCAGC